CATAGGGGGACCCATTTTCTAGAAGGACAAGAGAACCAGGGCCCTGGTTGGTCAGCCCCGGGACTGGCCAGCCTGGCTGCGGTTACAGCACGACTCTCCCCAGCCCTTCACCTTATGCAGGAAACCGCTCTTGTCCAGTGGTTCCCAGAGCGTGGTTCCCGGACCAGTCACCTGAGCAGCACCTGAGAACTTACTAGAAATGCAACTTCACGGGCCCTGCCCCAGGCCCACTGAAGTAGAAATTGGTGGTGAGGCCCAGTGAGCTGCACTGGAGTCAGCTCTCCACGTCATTCCGACGCACAGTAAAATCTGAGAACAGCTGCTTTTAGTCTGAAGAAATGGGTTTTAATTGGGGACATAGAGTAGGATCTCCTGGGGCCCCTGCCTCTAGAGATGCTCCGTTAGCAGCTCTGGGGAAGAGCCTGGTCTGTGAATTTTAGGGAGTCTCTCCTGGGGCCTGGCCCATCTCCCCCATGCCAGCTCAGAACCACGGGTGTAGAGACTTCCCTGGCTTCTTGGCCACAGCATGCCGGGCCGAGCTGGGGACCATCCAAGCCTTTGTCAAGGCATTTCACCGTTCATTTCCGTGCGTTTATGGAGGCTCCGGTATATGCTCAGCTCCATGCGAGGCTCTGTGGCATGTCGCAAAGTGTATAACACAGGGTCCTGGCGCTGCAGGAATTTGCAGTCCAGTCCCAGCTGACAACAAGACTGCTGACCGGCCAAATAGACGCAGTAATAGTCATTTTGGCCGCTGTTAACGAGCTCCCACAATTGAGTGCTCTGAAGACGTGCTGGACCACGCGGCCCTTCAGCCAGCAGCTTATCTGCTGCAGACACGGCTGACTGCAGGGAGGTCGCTTGCTCTGCTCTGTAGCAGGTGGGTTTTATCCGGCTGCCTGTAGGTGCTCTGCTGTAATGGTTTTGTATTTCTTGTGATGTGGGTTTCTTTCAGCATCTGAATACACTACCTTTTGATGATCGGGTAGCGTCTTTATTTATTCCATCCGTAGAAGTCATCTTGAAGTTCCCATATCCGTATGTGCGTGCATCTAATCAGAATGAAATGTAATTTGTGTTTTGAGGGCCGACTTGGTGCCAGGTACTGTGGGAGGGCTTTGTGTGTATTTTTTTTTTTTTTTTATCTTTTTGTACCATGGTGAAGGGGGAAATGAGCTCCTGTTTTATAGAAAAGGAAACTGAGGACCAGAGAGGTTAAGTAACTTTTCCAGGATCACACAGCAGAGTCGGGTCCGTTTGATTCCAGGAACTTTCTGGTACTACGTATAAGCAACTCTGAAAAAGCTAAATGAAACTTCTGCAACCCCACCCTTCCTGGCCAACCCAAGTGTTTTCCTCATTATAGGGGATCCTAACAAGCCCTCGGGTTTCAGAAGTGTCAAGGCTCCGGTCACCAAAGTGGCTGCATCGATTGGAAACGCCCAGAAGTTGCCCATGTGTGACAAATGTGGCACCGGCATTGTGTGAGTATTTGCCTCGCCCCGGTGTCGGAGGCCCCCCAGGTGGGGTAAACCATGCAGCTGTGGAAAGTGCCAGAGTTTGCCCATTTGGGGTGTGATGGGGAAGAATTCCTGCCTGGAAAATGGAGCAGAGAGGCCAAGTGGGCCTTTATGTCCAGAGCCAGGTGTGAAGGTTTTCCTTGGCCGCGGAACCCTTAGGGCGTGACTAATGTCAAACCAGAGAAAGGGCCTCTCTGTTGAAGAGGGAGGGCTTCACGAGTAATGCGCGTGGCCGGTTCCGAGGCCCTGATCCGCCCTTCGATGGGCCGCGTGGAAGGAGCCCCCGGCTGTGGTGCCTCCTTCAGGTGCTTGTCGCTAACGGAGCCCTTCCCTGCCTCCCTCCTGCAGCGGCGTGTTCGTGAAGTTGCGGGACCGCCACCGTCACCCTGAGTGTTACGTGTGCACTGACTGTGGCACCAACCTGAAACAGAAGGGCCACTTCTTTGTGGAGGATCAAATCTACTGTGAAAAGCACGCCCGGGAGCGGGTCACACCCCCTGAGGGCTACGACGTGGTCACCGTGTTCCCCAAGTGACCCCGCAGGCCTCCTCTCCACACTCTGGCCCTCTCCACTCCTGGAAGTTCTTGCTGACTTTGGTTTTACCCCTGCTCATCAAACACCACGTCTCCCTGCCTCTGCTCGCTGACTCACTGGCTGCGTGACGCCTGCTTTTACGATTAACAGAGGATGGTTCTGTTCCGTGCCCCCTTGCCAGCGTCCCTGGGTCTTCTCTTTACCTCAGCTCATCTCTGCTGCAAATGGACATCAGCCACATTTGAACCAAACCGAATTGAGTATGTCTGACATTGAGTTCGGTTTTACTCAATAAATGCATAGACTCCAAGGCAGTGTGTGTCTCTCTCTCATTTCACCGTGCATCCTCGTTCCTGTCTCAGGCCAGATGAGATTTCTGAGGCCTCTCCTCTTGTTTTGGGTTCCCCACTTCTCTGAGATTTGCAGGCCTTCTCCTCCATGTGTGAGAAGATTGACATCTGAATGAGCCATGTTCTCACCTTCCTTTGAAGTTTGCTCCAAATTCTCTTTCTCTGATGCTAATGTAAGATCAGCCTCGTTATGTTGTAACGAAATGATGTCTTCTCTCCTGTCTGGCTGTTCTGGGACTCATCTGAGGAAATGAATGCTTCCCAAACAAGAGATGGAGAGCTTTCCCAGTTGGGCCTTCAGATATTCCCTAACGAGTCCCTCTCTAGGCTGCTAGCTGCCACGACAGCCCCTCTGCTCTGTGAAGGGAAGCACACTCAGGATGGGCATCACCTAGGTGCTAAACTCAGACACCTCTTGGTAGTCCCTTGTGGAATTTTGACGGCAAATAGACATGTTCAGCAGCCACAGTCCGAGAAGGACATGGGACCTGCAGGGATGTGGCTCTGGGTCATACCATCAGGGAAGGCTCAGATACGCAGAGGCGCTGGGTGAGGGTGAGGGGAATCCAGAATGTGTGGTAGAGACTGGAGATAATGAGCCTGAGTTACCAACCTCAGGCGCAGGGGCTGTTGTGACCTTCCTCTTCTAGTGACCTTCCTCATCTAAGCTTCCCACAGGAAAAGCCGGCCCACCAGATCTGGGTGGGGCTGCCTTCAGAAGTCGCATGAAGACTCCCGCAGTGTTGACACTTGCTGCGTCACTCAGATACCCCTTCAGAACCCAAGGACTTGGCCCCCGAGCTGCCCGGAGAGTTGCCAGTGGAGGGCCCTGTCCGTCAACCCTCCCAGGGAGTGTCTGACCTGAAGAGAGCTGGCCCATGGCCCCTTTCCCAGGTGGTCCAGTGCCTGCGGAGGTGAACATATCTGGGCCTGGCCCCCTGCCCCAGCCCTGGACAGCTTTGTAGGCGTCCTCTGAGGCCTCCCTTAAAGCTGTATTGCTCATAGCCAACTTCTCTCCCCGCCCAATTCTGCTTCCCTCCCTCCCTCCCCAACCCCCACCCCAGGTCATGGTCCCAAGGGCACCCCTCCTAAACTTAACCTCTCACTAGCCCCGGGTCACAGTTTGCTTCCTGGGAAAACCAATTTGTGACAACCATGACAGAAACTTCGGAATTTTTTTTTGTTTTTTCCTGAGATGGGATTTATTTGGAGGGTTTTTTCACAGGGACATACCTTAAACTGACTTACCCATTCAAATAACTGATTTTTATGCCATGTCAAAACCTCACCATCAGGGACAAGAGTGGACACAGACCAGGTAGGACTGCTGCCCTGGCCCAGGTAAGAAATGGAAAGGCTGGTACAGGGCGGTGGAGGCGGGAGCGGGGCAGTCACTGGGTTTGAGATAGATTTTTAACGTAGAGCAGACCGACGTAGGCTGCCCTCCTGTCTCCTTCCTTGACCAGACAACAAAGAGCTTCTCCCCCAGTAATGGGCCCCTAGAGCAGGAGACCTCTCAACTCTGCCAGCCCCATTGTCCTAAGCTGGGAGCTCAGAATGGGAGGAGAAAGTGTGGCAGGTGTGGTCTGGTATCCCCAGTCCCTTGGGCATGAGCTGAAGGTTGGCTCCTTCACCTGCCCCCCTCGTCCACCTCCAAGAGCTCTGCTCTCAAGGAAAGAGTAGCATCTAGAAAGTATATCCAGTGTGATGGTCCCTTACATTGATGGCACTTTACAGATTACAAAATGCATTTATTGTATTGCTCTGCGAGCATCAGAAACCCTACTAACAGGCGATTTCATAGGTGGGGAACCAGGGACTTGGTGCGAATGAGAATTAGAACGTATAGGGTCATGAACGAGCATGCACTGGAATTTACAGGGAACATTGTGGTTTCTGCTCTGGAAGAATGCCTGTGGGTGCAGTCACTTTGGAAAACAGTGTGGAGGTTCCTCAAAAAGTTAAAAATGGAGCTACCCTATGACCGAGCAATTGCAAGACTGGGTATTTACTCCAAAGACACAGATGTAGTGAAAAGAAGGGCCATAGGCACCCCAGTGTTCGAGCAGCAATGTCCACAATAGCCAAACTGTGGAAAGAGCCGACATGCCCTTCAGCAGATGAATGGATAAAGAAGATGTGGTCCATATGTACAATGGAATATTACTCAGCCATCAGAAAGGATGAATACCCAACATTTGCATCAACATGGATGGGACTGGAGGAGATTATGCTAAGTGAAATAAGTCAAGCAGAGAAAGAATTATCACATGGTTTCACTTATTTGTGGAACATAAAGAATAGCACAGAGGACATTAGGAGAAGGAAGGGAAAAATGGAGGGGGGGGAATCCGAGGGAGAGACGAACCATGAGAGACCATGGACTCTGAGCAACAAACTGAGGGTTCTAGAGGGGAGGGGGGAGGGGGGATGGGTTAGCCTGGTGATGGGTATTAAAGAGGGCACGTACTGCATGGAGCACTGGGTGTTGTACGAAAACAATGAATCATGGATCACTACATCAAAAACTAATGATGTAATGTATGGTGACTAACATAATAAAAAAAACTATATATAAAAAAAAAAGAACGCCTGTGGCCAAGGACTGAGAGCATGAGGGGATTTGTTGCAGTGGTTAGGTTGGGGCTGACTGCCCTCCTCCCTCTAAATATTCTCCTGATGCCATGTCGTTGAATCAATTTGAAAAGAATTAGAGTGTCTCTGTCCAGTGGGATTAAGCCAACAAGGACTTGAATTGCTGAAACTATTCAGCCAAACACACACACTGCATTGAAGCAACAGCCAGTTTTGGTGGTAAATATGCCTCAAAACCTTGGCAGAAACATCTGTTGAATTAAGAGAGGGTTTCCTCCATCGTGATTACATGTATATATCCTGAGATTTGTGTTGAATGTTCTCTGAAGGGAGATGCATGGTGAATTGTTTCTAACTTCTGACACATGGTGACTTTCCATACACTCTTCACAGATTAAAGCATTACCCTCTTGGCAACCTTGGCATAGGCCAAGAATCTGACGTGTATGAGAGCTACGGGAGCAACAGGAGTTTAATCAAAAAGTAGTCTACCTCATTCCAGCTTCTGCAGGAGATCCTGGAGTCTGAGGAGAAAGGCGACTGGTCTGCTCGTGGTCAGAGGCTACTGTTCAAGGCCTGTCGTGTGGTCACTCCTCGCTGAAACACAGGTGAGCAGAGCCCAGCAGTGGGAGGAAAGAGTACAGTGTGGGCCATTAAACTCTGATAAATAAAATAATCTATGCCTTCTTGCCTTGGTCTGTGTTACAGGAGCGCAGATCTAGCTGCTTCCTGTCATGTGTGTACCATATAGCTGAGAGCTGGGTAAATTATCTTGTGGTGGGCCTTTGTTGGTTTGTCCCTCAGCACGCCCTTGATTTGATTTGAGCCCATCCATCCCCTTCCTGCTGTAATCGGTGGTGCAGATAGGCAAAGGCCAAGGGCAGTAGAGAGACTGAAGCACAACGAGCCACCAGCAGAATGAATCCAGGCTCTGGGCTTCATCTTACGGCTGAGGAGATGCCGTGTTATTTTTGTGCTCCAGTGTGTTGGGCACATTGGAATCCTGTTTTTACTGCTGTCCCCTCTTCTCCCCACTATACCTGTCTGCCATGGGAGAGTCGTCCCTCCTGAGAAGGATCTGAATGCCTGGGGACTCTGATGAGGAGAGACCTGCCTCAGCCAGACTTCCACTCCCCTGGGTTCATCCCACTCTGAAAGGAACTGAGGTTTTTTACTCAGGGCAACCAGTTCCACCACTCCTCGCTGTGAGAACTTTAGCCAACTCACTCACTCCTCCTGATGTGGGGACCCTGCATTGTCACTTGTGTCCTATCCTATGGATTAGTCTTCTTTCTGGCTTCTGTTTGACTTCTGTAGTCATCTTTATTATTTCCTTCTTTCTCTTTGCCTTGGGTTAGTTTGATCTTTTTCTAGTTATTTTGAGGTGGACATTTAGGTCATTGGTTTGAGACTTTTTTCTTTTCTAATACAAGCATTTAGTGGCATATATTTCCCTGTAAACACTCCTTTGGCCACATGCCACAAGTTTGATACGCTGTGTTTTCATTTTCATTCATTTCAAAATAGTTTTTCAGTTTCTCCTGTGATTTCTTCTCTGACCTCTGGAATATTCAGGAGCATTGTGCTTAATATCTAAATATTTGGTGGTTTTCCAGCTATCTTTCTGTTACTGATATCTAATTCAATTCCACTTGAATTAGAATTAAATCCTTTTCAAGTGACCAACTGTCAGTTTCTTTTGTAGCCCAGATCGTGGTCTGTACTGGTGAACGTACTTATATGTACTTTAAGAGAATGTGTATTCTGCTGTTTAGGAGACTAAATTAGTTAGGTCAAGTTGGTCAATAGGTTCAAAGTAATTAGGCTCAAGTCTTCTGTCTGATTTTCTGTCTGCTTGTTCAATCATTTACTGAGAGTGGACACTTGAAATCTCTAGCTGTAATCATGAATTTGTCTTGTTCTTTCAGTTCTGTCAGTTTTGTTTTACATCTTTTAAAGCTCTGTTTTAGGTGTTTATACATTTAAGACTCTTTTATTTTGTAATGAGGTGTAACTCCTTTGTGATTATGAAATGAACATCTTTATCTCTGGTAGTATTCCCTGTTCCGAAATCTACTTTGACATTAAAATAGCCAGCCCAGCTTTCTTTGATCAGTGTTTGAATATTACATCCTTTTAATTTTTCTATGTCTTTATATTTAGAGTTGGTTTTCTGAAGAAAACCCTTGTTTGAGTCTTGCTTTTTCACTCAGTCTGACAATCTCTGCTTTTGGGTTTTGACCATTTTTATTTCATTTAATTTTTGATGTCATTGGGTAAATGGCATCCTGCTACTGGTTTTCTCAGAGTCATTTTTGTTGTTTTCTTGTTCAGCCTGCATCCTAGGGGCACCTGGGTGGCTCAGTTGGTTGAAGATTCTGCCTTCAGCTCGGGTCATGATCTCAGGGTCCTGGGATTGAGCCCCACGTGGAGCTCCCTGCTCGGTGGGGAGCCTGCTTCTCCCTCTCCCTCTCCCACTCACCCTGCTTGTGTGCATTCTCTTTCTGTATCTCTCATAAATAAATAAGTAAGTAAGTAAGTAAGTAAAATCTTAAAAAAAAAATAACCTGCATTCTTTTGGATCAATTGTTTATTTTTTATGGTTCCATTTGATCTTAATTATGTATTAGCTCTATTTTTTCTGTTGTTGTTTTTTAGTGGTTTATAATTTACAGCATCAACTTAATGTGATCCATGTTTAAGTAATATTGTACTATATCAAGCATGGTGTAGAAACCTTACGGTAGCTTACTTCTGTTTCCTGCCTCCCATCTTTTATATTGTTATCATATATTTTATTTCTACCTATGTTTAAGCCCAACAATAGTCTTTAAAGGAGATTTAAAAACTAGTCTATGATATTCTAAACAATTTTATGTAAGTAATTCCCACACATGACCCTTTCCAGTGGTCTTCATTCCTTCCTACAGATCCATGCTTCCATCTGGGAGCATTTTCCTTCAGCGTGAACAGTTCATTTTAGTCATAATCAGTGTGGGTGCTGTGATGAATTTACTTCATTTTGGAATGTCTGAAAATCTTTTTTATATAGCCACTTTTATTGAGGCATATTTTCAATATATAATTTTATATAGTTTTAAAAAATCAATTGTGAATTGATTATAAACACCAAAATGATAATATGAGTGTAAGGAATGATTGCTGTCTCTAATTATAGTCAGGTTTTTCTCTCCATCTCTTTCTGAGTTCAGTATAGAGAATTATTTTATATGTGTAGTAGAAGTTTCACCTCCAATGTAGGGACCATGTAATACTTATCTTTATGATCCCAAAGCCTCATGCAGGACTTGACATAGGTATAAATGTGCTCAACAAGTTTGTTCTGGTTGTTTTTAATTAGATAGATGAGGCTTCCCCTATTAAGCTTACCATACTTTCTCCTTTCCTACCCATTCTGTCTAGGAAAGCCATACTTTCAATACTGCTGATTTAAATAGTTTTTGTTTTGGAGAGAGTAAAGGAATACTAAGAATTCATGAACACTAACAATCACTGGAACTTCTTTGACTCTCTCTGGTCAAAATGGAGCGGGAAAAGTGTGAATTGGGCCATGAGGTGCATCATTTTGTTCTTTCTGGTGGCATTGAGGTGAGTGGGCAAATACTACTACTTGAAAAGCACTTGCAGCAGCAGGTACTGTGTGCAGGGACCTACACTACGCATCATGGGGGACTTTCAGTCTTGTAAGGGTAGAGAGTGATAAAACATATGGTCCCTGTTTGGTATGTGGTAAAGGTGTAACTGAAGAAAGGCAGAATATACATATTCTTCCATCTTGGATGAAATAATTGCAGTTTTTAGAGAGCAGCACATACAAAATACCATGCTCTCAGGTGAAGCTGTAATTGATGATTGAACATAGTGCAATCTCACTGTACTTAAAAGAAGTGATGGCGGAGGGGTGTCTGGGTGGCGCAGTTGGTTAAGCATCGGACTGTTGGTTTTGACTCAGGTCATGATCTCAGGGTCATGAGATCGAGCCCCATGTCAGGCTCTGTGCTCAGCTCAGAGTCTGCTTGGGATTCTCTTTCCCTCTCCCTCTGCCCCTCCTTCCCCCCAAATAAATAAATAAACTTTAAAAAAATTTAAGTGCTGGCATACATAGGCTATGAAGGATGGGGAAGGGAATTTCAGATGGGGTGAAGGCATGCCCACTCTGGACAAGTGGATTGGCAAGGAGACTGGCCTAGAGGGAGCAGAGGGCTTTAAATAGTTTAGTAAAATTAGGCTTTAGGGGCGCCTGGGTGGCTCAGTTGGTTAAGCGTCTGCCTTTGGCTCAGGTCATAATCCCAAGGTCCTGGGATCGAGCCCCTTGACTGGCTCCCTGCTTGGCGGGGAGCCTGTTTCTCCCTCTCTTCCCCTCTTGTGCTCTCTCTCTCTCAAATAAATAAATAAAATCTTAAAAAAATAAAATTGGGCTTATGACTGATATGGAATTGGAGTTTGGTATTTATGGAGTGATCTGAATACTGAATTAGAAATGTTTCATTTGATTAGATGGAAATTTGAGCAAGAACAAGGATGTGATTGCAGGTGATATTTGCGGGAAATTATACTGGAGTTCCCTGGAGTGTTTGGTTCCCTGCTGGAGAGCTCTGATTTCTAGACCTAGCATCTGAGAGTCTGGATAATCATTACAGCCATGGAAATGTAGAGGAGTTTGATGATAGAGGAGTCAAAATTACATGAAGATTGTCTCCCTTTCTGTGTTCTCATGGATCTAGGAATATAATCAGTTCGGCAGGTCCATAGAAGCCAAAGGAGACAAAAAAACATTAAAAAGAAGGAATAGGTCAGATTTAGTTAGGAAGGTGGACACCTGGGCAGCCTTTGGATGGGTTAAGAGGATTTGCCGGTGAGTCCTAATTGAAGAGAGCAGTTTAGAAGGAAGGAGATGATGGTGGGAGAAATTTCAGTGATGGGAGATGTTCTGAGAAGTTAAACAGAAGTGGGAAAAGATCTGGGTGACAGATTTAAATGGTGGTTGGGTGAAGTGGCAGAATTGCATGGGAAGGAAATAAAGGCATAAAGACATAAGTGTAGGTGTGACATTTCCAGTGAAAGGGAAGAGGGAAGATTCTAGAACATTTGGAAAAGTGGTACTCTCAGAGAACAAAAGGACATTTCTTCCTCTGAAATTACAATTGCTTTAACCAACTACTGTCTATAACACTGGGTGGAATGGAGAAATTGGTTAGTGGGTAAGACTTAGGACCCTAAATGGGTAGAGTCCAGAAGATCAGACGGAGTGACATTCAAATAATTTTCTGTGGAATTTGGTCTGAACCACCAGTTTCAAGTGGTCTGGATGAGGAGTGATGATTTGTGGTTAAGCATGTGGTTTAGGGAGCTGTAGGAAGAAGCAAATTTCATCTAGTATCTGCCCTTTTTTCTACCCCTAAGGAATGATTCTTAACCTTTTGGAGGCCATAGTTCTTTCGGGGAAGAATTCACTTATATTCACCACTTGCTTTTTTGTAGACATTTTGAAGGGTGTCATGGACGCTGTAAAGCCTCTTCATTACTCCCAGGGTTAGGAGGCTCCAAGTCCTCTGGCAGCTGGGTTACTGGTAGCCATCTTCCCAAT